AATAACATAGGCTCAAACTACCAGCAGCAAAAATTGATAGAACTATAGGGGGAGACTGGTAAATTCTCTACTGGAGGCTCAATTTCAAATAGCTTCTCACTTATTGATATATCAAGCACATAAAAGTCAGTAAAGATTTGGACATTTGAACAACATAATTAACAAGTTTGGTCTAATGGAAATATATATAGAACTCTAGTCTACTAAACAGAAACAACACATTCCTCTTAAGCACACATGGAACAGTTACAAAAATGGCTCATGTAAAGCAGAACTCAACAAATTTCTTCCTTCCTTCCTTCCTTCCTTCCTTCCTTCCTTCCTTCCTTCCTCCCTCCCTCCCTCCCTCCCTTCCTTCCTTAGAGAGACAGAGAGAGTGAGCAGGGGAGGGGCAGAAAGAAAGAGGGAGAGAGAGAACTGCAAGTAGGCTCTGTGCTGTCAGCACAGAGCCTGACTCAGGGCTTGAAATCATGAATCATGAGATCACGACCTGAGCTAAACCCAAGAGTAAGACGCTTAACCAAGTGAACCACCCAGGCACCCCAGAACTCAACAAATTTTTAAAAATCAGCACCATTCAAATCACCTTCTCTAATCATCATGCAATAGAGGTAAGCAATAGAAGAATAAATAAGAAATCTCTCATATGCTTGAAAATTTAAAAATTCTTAGTCCCTGCTACTCAAACTGTGGTTTGCAGACCACTCTGGGTCCACAAACTCTGATCATGACCATGACACTAGGAGGTAAGTATGAAATGGGGGGGTACGAATTTAGAAACTTCCATAGTACTCGAAAATGCTATGACACCCAAACAACATTTAATTTTTCTAGAAATTCATTTTTTTTGTGTTTTATAAAAGTATCCATCTGCAATAGATTACAAATGCTTAAAAATGAAATAAAGTAGCAACAACAAATAAAAATAACCAAATTGGTTCTTCACCACAGGGAGTTTGGGAAGCACTCTTTAGTATCTCCTGGCTCAAGCAAGAGATCAAAATGCAAATTAAAAAGTACTTAGAACCTGGGGCTCAGTCATTTAAGTGTCCAACTCTTGGTTTTGGCTCAAGTCATGATCCCAGGATTCGTGGGATTGAGACCCAAGTCGGCCTCTGTGCTGACAGCATGGACCCACTTAGGATTGTGCCTCCCTCTCGGCCCCTCCCTCCACTGCACATGTGTGTACTCTTTGTCTCTCTCTCTCAAAATAAATAAACATTAAAAAAAATACTTAGAACCAAATGGTAATAAAAAATATATGTTGTTATAGACCCATCTGGTTAGATTATAATTATTTACATTTTGCATGTCTCACCACCAGTCTTTGAGTCCTCCATGTTGGGGATCATGCAATCGTCTTGGTTCCTCTCCTTGTCACAGTGCCTGAGTATTGAGTATCTAAATTTACATATTTAAACTTACATATTAAATATATTTAAATATTTCCTTAAATATTTACTCAACTAAAATAGCAGTCCTGGAATCCTGTCTCTCTTTATTCCATTCCTACTTTCTTGGTGTTGCCCAAGTGTCATGGAGATTCACCAGAAATTTGTGCCTTACTTGGCTTATTTTCACTGTGTCCCAGCAAGCAGTGGCTTATGCAGTCCTATATCTCCTCATGCATTTAACAATGAAAAGAAAAAGATAAGAGGGGTGTGGAGACAGTCTTTTCATCATCCATACTTGGGAAGGTGAGCTGGTAGTGCCATCCTTGACATGAAGGAGCTACTTAAACACAAATTGGATTAGCAGGACAGGATTAGAGCCTGCTGGAAGGTATTATACACTTATAAACTGCTCTGTAGAACTCTTATTGTTTTCATTACAAGCCCATACTCCACAGTGTCAATCAAATGAAATACTGAATTAGCCTATTAATAAAAAAGAAATAAATTGAGATATAAAATGAAGCAACTAAGTTCTAATACTGGAAAAATATTGATTAGACAGTAACAGTTGAGTTTAGCAAAACTATAATTAGAACAAAATAAAAAAAGAGTATCTGAAATGAATTTTTTTTGAAAGAGAAAGAGAGTAAGGGAGGGTCAGAGGGAGAGGGATAGAGAGAATCTTAAGCAGGCTATTAACTACTTTTCTATCTCCAGCACTTCAAAAAGAAGATGGTAACAACTAGGTACTGATACAGGTTCTTCAAGATCAAGTCTCATCTACTTAACCTCATTTTTCTGGCAAGGTTCAGGGGGAGAAGGTATTTCTAGGCAGGTAAATTGGGATGGTATCTTCATTTTGAAACAGCATTAGATAAAAATCTCTCATAATATCCTCATGAAAAGATTGGATTTTAGGAAAGTTGGATGATCGAATAACCATATTCACAGTATTGATCCATGAAACTGACCTCTCCATGCCTCAGTTTCCTTATCTGTAGAAGGAGTATAACAGTAGCACCTCACTGGGTTGTTTATGAAACTAAAGCCCTTAGAACAGTGCCTGGACGTCAGTCAGCACTATATAAATAAATAAAACATGATCAGAAGCTTCTAGTTGCATGCTTGTTCAACACTTGGCTCCAACCTCTTCAACATTTCCATCAGAAACTTGTTAAATGCCTGGCAAATTCTCAAATGCTATTAATGATGGATAATAAAATCAAAATCCAAAAAGACCTTGATAGGCAAGGGCTAGGAAATAACATATATGAGATAAAATTAAGTCCTGGATAGAGAGTTTAAGAAAACATTTTTTACAAGCACTAGCCTGGCTTGCCAGAACTTTCTGTGGTAAGAAAGGGAAATTCAACTGACTCCCAAGCTCAGCATGCATAAAACAGTAGCAATTAATGGAAAGTTTAACTGCATTAAGAGAACTGAAGCGTCCTGATAAAGACACTGTCTGGATACAGACGCAAAGATGGCGGGCACGTCTCACCCATCATGAATTCTTCCCTCCCCTTCCCTTAGTTTCCTCCTAAGAAGTGGCTCTGGGTACAAGGATGAGCTTGAGAACACCAGTGAACAGTAAGAAAATGTGAGGCAATAATGGACCATATTTCAAACTTATCTGGGTGGAAGGAAACATCCTCTGGTGGATACGGGAAGATAGCCTCAAGATTTGTGAAGAATATAATTAGAAGTTTATCAGGGCACCTAATGGCTCACTGTGCTACATGCTAAAATAAATTCCCCTCTAATCATGATTACTACAGGATTTATCTAATCTATTTCCTATAGGAAATCAAGCTACTCCCAGGCATTTTATCAAACTTCTTCCTCATAATAATCCCTGTCCCTGACAAAAGAAGATTTTGTCATCCCACAGTATAGATAAGAAATGGAGGCAAAGAAGTAAAGTGAATTGCCCTGGGTCACACAGAACTGAAATTACAATTTAGTATCTAATCTTAGAGTGCACTACATGAGTTTTGGAAGGGAGCATACTGGAAGCACATTATATCCTTCAAGAAAAGGCCTATTTACCTTAATCTCTGGGAGAAAGAAGATTAATTGTATTTTCCTTGGGGCATGCCAAAGATGTTGAGGAGACGCTTTAGATTCCACACGCTCATTCTAATCCTTTTCCAAATACTTGGAAAGTCTTGCTTTGACCATTAACTTCTTTTTTTTTTTTAATTAAGGCAAATATTTGCTAGAATCTCCAAGGAGAGCAATTAATCAAGAAAGTTGTACAGTACGGCCATGCTATTTCAGATCATTTAAGACAAGAAAGTATCCAGATAGGCATGAATCCAGATGGCCAACTCCCTCTGTCCCCAAGCCCCACAATCTATTCCCAGACAGCCTCACTGTCTAGGGACAGACAAAGGTTAAGTAAAAACATGTTTTTAACTTAAAAAGTTCCATGCAAACATAAATTATTGTTATAATGATTTACACCTAATTATTTCACCTAATTACTGAATAAATCCATGTTCATTATAAAAAGCTGGAAAATAAAGTAAACCAAATGAAGCAAAAAGCACCCACTCTGCTACCACCCAGTAAGAACCTTTTGTACCTGTTTACAACTGGATATATTTTAAGGCTCAGTTCTGTGGTCAGGCCATGAGGAAATCAGCCCAAAGCTGCAACCCTAAGGTTCTGTGTGTAGCTTCCCTTAAATTAAGTAGGGAAAATGGTGACTTATTCATAGAAGACTATCTTTTATTTTCTTGGCACTTATCCCAGAAGCCATAAGGCCATTACTCAATATTAAAAAGACATGAATTCCACATTGTGTCTTACTGCTCTAAAAATTTACAACACAAATTTCAGATTAAATAATTTACCCAAACTGGTAAATATCATAGCCACAATGGATTCAGTGTCTATCTCTTTATCAATATATACACATAGTCACATATACTGAAGGTATACACTGGTTGGGTTCTTCCTTTGTCTTGGAGAAAAGAGACACATTCAAAACCTCTATGAGGGCTTGATCAAGAATATATTAGTAAATAGCAAAAGGTGAGTATGGTAGAATCTTTCCAACTAATGAGCAATGCTACCAAGACAGCACCAAATTGCAATCCATTGCTTTTTCCCATCTTAAGGAAAAATCATGCTATTACCTTTTTGTTCATAGCAACACCATCCTCACAGTCGAGCACCGCACAATCTACATTCAAGGAGGGAATCTTCTTTATTTTCTTTTCATCATTTCCAGGTACATAGAGCACTGCTCTCCGGGGAATGTACTTGTGATTGGAGGAGGAACTGTATCCAACCCTGGGCACATCAGCTGCCAGAAGTGGTTTCCTGCAGGAGACATAATTGGTGTTAGCCTAAAATAGGATCTATTTACGAATTTTTGCAAAACCTTATTTTAATGCAAAATTAAAACCGAAAACATGATAAGCTAATTTCAGCAGATCACAATCACACAGCACAACTAGGAGAACAACAATAGAAATAACCAAGAAACAAAATGTCATTTTGGCTGAAGTTTAAAAAATATATAGCACTGTTTATTGAGACGATCTTCAGAGAAAACAAGTGTGTACCAATTTCATCTTGGAAAAACACTTCCAATACTAGTATATTATCTAGATAGTACCCATGGACAAAAAGAAAGGAAATTTATATCCAGAAGGTCCCAAATAACATTACTATCTTCAATTATATGAAACTAAAAACAGAAAATAAACAACCTATGTTAAGCATTAGTGTATGGCCCTCCCTCTGCCCGTGAGTCTAAAGTAGGCAAAGAAGTGATTCAAGTTCAATGTTAACAACAGACAAGGATGGCTGGCCACTTCTTAAGTGAGCAGAATAGATAACAAATGAGAAAAGATCATTAACTAGCTCTGGAATGGTGGCCAACTTCATCACTGAAAACTTCAGGTGCTTCATCTATAAAAACGATACTAATTTTGCAGACTATTGAGAGGCTTCAGTGAAAGGAAATAAGGCACATGAAGTGCTTAGCAAGAGCCTGGCAGGTGTGGGTGGTGGGCACAGAGAATGCTGTTGTTCTTAATGAGAAAACTAGGTCTGGATATCAGTAGCCCCTGCCTGCTTCTGACCTCTGCTCTCTCTCTCCTTCCATTCCCTACTGCATTCAGTTTAGCCTCCTGTGGAAATAAGAGTTGTTGGCCAGAAGCTTGTTTGGCTCACTGCAGCCCTCGCGCCTAACCTGATCCATAATTAGGTGCTATGGTTTGGCCCATAATATGTGGTAAAGGAAGGTGAAATCAGTTTTCACATTCAGGACGAGCTACATAACTTGTTGGTCCCAGAGTAAAATGAAAATGTAGACCCTTGTTCAAAATTTATTAAGAATTTTAGGTGGTTGACAGAAAAACATCAAACCAAGCACCAGACCCTTCTAAGCACAGAGCCATGTGTGATGGTGCAGGTCATACATTCATGAAGTCAGTCCTCCCCATAATAGACAAGCTATATGTCATGAAGCACCCAGTTAAGGTTAAAGCCACAGCAAGTCAGAAATGCCCTATGTTTTACTCTGCCCTGAGTAAACTGCATCATCCTTTCCAAAAACGTGTCAGCTGTACTTATCCTAAGTTAATGCCATCTGTATTTTACAAAGCTGTAATATTCTGTCATGATTACTGTGCCTTGTGACAATGAATCTCAAGAAAAATCATTCACTCTTTGGCCAACTGATTCTATGTGTGACCCCCCCATTCCTTCTTGTGGCCAATCTTAATACACTAGAAAACTTGAGTCTTAGTCTTATTTTTCCATAGCAAAAGCACTGTACTACATGAGGTATGGTGAGATACAGATGGGTTTTAAAAGTGTACATGTCTTACAAGACACTTTATTTAATATAAAACATACAATGAACAAAAATATATTATGGCCAGTTAACTGAAGAACAACTGAACTGTCATCATTTTGCATTGACTGAAAATATCTAGCTTCTTTTTTTTTTTTTTTTTTTTGAGAGAGAGAGCGAGCAAGTTGGGGAAAGGGGCAGAGGTAGAGAGGGAGAATCTCAAGCAAGCTTCAGGCTCAGTGAAGAGCCTGGCATGGGGCTTAATTTCATGACCCTGGAATCATGATCTGAGTGGAAATCAAGAGTCAGATGCTCAACTGACTGAGCCACCCAAGGGCCCCTGGTTTATCTTTTAAAAAGGGAGAAAATATAACTATGTAACAGTAACAATCACATTTTACTTATTCACACTGGAAACCAAAAGTTGCAACATATTCATTTCCTTAAAATTTGTAAAAACACAATTAAAGGAGATGAAATTTTATTTACCAGGAAATGCTTGGGGGGGGGGGGAGTCAAAATTACTTTTCACCATAATTTGTTGTAATCACACGTGTAAAACCCAAAAAGAGGATAAGAATGGCTCTAGTGGAAAGAGCTTCATGGGTCCTTCCTATACCTCGCACTTCACCTGACAGAGTAAATATCTGGACTTCTCTGTCCCATTGGCAACTGACTTTCATTTCATGAAAACTGAGATTTCCTTCATAGGAAATAGCTTCTGACTGCCATTTTGGATTCAGCCACTGTGGTCTCCAAGCTACACTATTTGAATTTTTTTTGTTTTTAACATTTTCTCATTCTTGTGAGACAGAGAGACAGAGCATGAGTAGGGGAAAGGCAGAGAGAGAGAGGGAGACACAGAATCTGAGGCAGGCTCCAGGCTCCAAGCTGTCAGCACAGAGCCTGATGTGGGGCTGGAACCAAGAACCGTGAGATCATGACCTGAGCTGAAGTCGGATGCTTAACCAACTGAGCCACCCAGGCGCCCCCAAGCTACACTATTTGAATCTCAAGACTGAGCTCCCAGACATAGCTCATGCTGTAAATCATACCACCATCATATGCTAAGCTCTAGGGCAAATCATTCCTAACATGTTTACATGAAGTCTGATTTTATTTATTTAAAAAAATTATTTATATTTTAGTTAATGGTGCAATATTGGTTTTTCAGGAGAATTCATTGAATCATCACTTACATACAACACCCGGTGCTCCTCACAAGTGCCCTCCTTAGTACCCATCACCCATCTAGCCCATCTCCCACCCACCTCCCTCCATCAACCCTGTTTTTTTCTCTATCATTAAGAGTCTCTTATGGTTTGTTTCCCTCTCCCCTCCTTCTTCCCCCCACCTTCCCATATGTTCTCGTTTTGTTTCTTAAATTCCACATATGAGTGAAATCATACGGTATTTATCTCTCTCTGATTTCATTTAGCATAACACACTCTAGTTCCACCCACATCATTGTAAATGGCAAGATTTTATTCTTTTTGATGGCTAACATTCCATTGTATACCACATTGAAGTGTAATTTAAAACAGATGATCACTTAAGAAATCTCCTGCCAGGGCACCTGGGTGGCTCAGTCGGTTAAGTGAGACTTTGGCTCAGGTTATGATCTCATACTTTGTCGGTTCTAGCCCCTCATCAGGCTCTGTGCTGACAGTGTGGAGCCTGCTTTGGATTCTCTCTCTCCCTCTCTCTCTGTCCTTCCCCTGCTTGTACTCTCTCTCTCTCTCTCTCTCAAAAATAAATAAACTTAAAAAAAAAGTCTCCTGTCACTGTTAATGATGTTTTTGGTTTCTTGGATAGTATTTACAATCATTAAAACCGTGTTTTGCTCATATCTTCCCCTGCTCAAAAACTGTCAACAGCTCCTTACTACCTGTACGATTAAGTTCACTCTCAGCTGATATTCCTTTCCTCAATTTACAGCTCATTATTCCTACTCAGTAAGTATCTACCCTAGGAAACTTAGATTATGACTGTACAACATGCTGCAATCATTGTTTCCAGAATACCTTTGCTTCTGCTGTGCTTCTGATGGAAAAATCTTCCTTCTCAGTTTATTTGAACATTAAGGATCCTTCACGTTCAGTTCAAGGTCCCCTCCAACCTTGAGCCTTTCTTAACTATTCTTTAAACTCTCTCTTCTTTAAGGGACACCTGAGTGGCTCAGTCAGTTAAGCGTCCAACTCTTGGTTTCGGCTCAGGTCATGATCTCACAGTTCGTGAATTCAAGCTCTGCACTGGGCTCGATGCTGACAGTGTGGAGCCTGCTGGGATTTTCTCTCTCCCTCTCTCTCTGCCCCTCCCCTGCTCACTCTGTCTCTCTCTCTCAAAAATAAATAAATAAACATAAACTCTCTCTTCTTTAAACTCTTATAGGATTTATCACTCATAACCAAACCAGAACCAGCAAAGGACTGGTTCTGCTATCAAGGCAAAGTTAATCAAAGCGGCACAAAGCTTTCTGGAAAGGCAATTGATGATACAAATCAAAAAACTTTAAAAGTTTCCTACCTTTTGAGCCAGTAACTTCAAGTTATTTGACAAAATTCATTTTGGGAACTGTTATAGATTGAATGTGTCTCCCCCAAATTCGTATGCTGAAATCTAATCCCCAGTGTATTTGGAGGTGGGGCCTTTGGGTGGTGATTAAGTCTTAAGGGTTCTGCCCTTAGAAAAGAGGCCCGGAGAGTTCCCTTCCCCAATGCCACATGAGGACACGGCGAAAAGACTGACATCTACAACCAACAACAAGGAAGCGAGTCCTCATCAGACACCAAATCTATCAGAGCTTTGATCTTGGACTTCTTAGCCTCCAGAACTGTGAGAAATAAAGTCCTGTTTTTTACGTCATCCAGTCTATGATATCCTGCTGTAGCTGCTCGACCGAACTAATAGACAGGAATCTATCTTAAGAAAGTAACTAGAAATAAGACTAGATATGTACAATATTAAGAAACTGAAAACCTTCAGGCCCAAAAGTTGGATGAATTATAGTATGTATATTCAATGGAATATGCTGCTATTGTTAAGAATTATGTTTATAAAAATATTTAATGTTACAATAACTATTGGTTTGTTTAATGTTTGTTTATTTTTGAGAAAGAGCATGAACAGGGGAGGGGCAGAGAGAAAGGGTGACAGAGGATCCAAAGTGGGCTCCACACTGACAGCAGGGGACCCAAAGCGGGGCTCCAACCCAGGAACTCTGAGATCACGACCTGAGCTAAAGCTGGATGCTCAATTGGCTGAGCCACCCAGGTGCCCCAATTATTGTATTTTTAAACAGAAGATGTAACATTATATATGCAATAACATCTCAACTTTGTAAAAAATGCAAAGAAAAATATCTGAAAGGAAATACATTAAAATGTTATTAGGGATGCCTCTGAACTATAGAATTGGGGATTAAGATTTTTCTGCTTCTGCACACTTTTTTCCTATGTTGCATATTTACTAGAAAGAGCATCACTCCTTTTAAAAAAATTCCTTTTATAACTGGCTT